ACAAACACAAACACAGGAAACAAAACTTAAAAGTCATAGTCAAAACAAATCACACACATTCACATGCTACACAGCACATAGCAAACCCTTTTCTTGCTGAGTAGATTCTTTCTCAGAGAAATAGATGCAGAATAGTCACAGGCCTCCAAATCCTATAATTATCCAATAACACAATGATATTGACACAATTATGGCAAGCAAAACAGTGTGAAACTTAAAGTATTGCCCATCCCCCTTCTTTCCATCTCCCCAATCACCAAAATAAAGAAAAATAAACAAATCTGTGGAAAAAAGGTTAAATTGATAATTTCGAAACTGGTATGCCAATGTATTAGATATAAATCTCATAAATAAAAGCATTACTAACTGAAAATTGGTTTATATCTTTAAGAATCTTAGAAACAAGTCTCATAAAAGCATCAGTGTCATGACATATACTGTTTTTAAGCTGAAAATAAGTCATCGATTTTTTATCTTAAGATGTAAAAATGAGCCACATAAAAACATTCAGCATAATTCTGGAAAGGCAGTATAATATTTAAATTAATATTTTAAAAATTATTATATAGTGTCAGGAAGATTATTGATCAATAGAGTCGCATAACTTCCACATCTCTTTGAAACTAAGAACAGAAATGCTTATACATCTAAACACCTTTGGTTTTACTCCACAATTAAAAATTCATTTCTTTTAAAGTAATTATTGAGAGTCTATTTTGTATTTGATTAAGAAACTATAAACTTTTAAAATTCAAGAAAATATGCATGGTCATCATTTTAACTTAAAGCACAAAATCCTAAACACCTTAAAGTCTTTAATAAGGTTAATTATCAATCTTAATATATCAGATACATGAAAACAAAATTTCCAGGCATTAATTTGTATGTCAACAATGTTTGAACAGTAGGGGTCAGGGTGAGCATTACTTGTGGATCATAGGTTAGAATATGCTCCACAGTGTGTACAGAAATCTATATTCTCTCTTAGAATTGCTGATTATGAAACAATTTCATAATCACAGGAAACGCAGTTTAACCTCAACAATATGAAAAAGCCTTTATAATATGCTGATGTATAAAATTATGTGTCAATAAACAATTCCCTATGCAGGTTGGTCCAATTATACTTAGCATAAATAAAATTAATCATTCATATTTTGTTACATGCCATAACTCTTTACTATCTGAAGTTTGTTAATAGAAAAGTGAAGAAAATATAATTTCTAACTCTATTATTTTTTCTCTTTTGAATTATGAATATGAATTTTATATATACTATATATAAATATATACTATCATGTTCTTAGTATGTATTTTTCTCATATTCTTAAGTGGTTTCATGAATATTATTTTTTATTAGCATCTATTGATGACTATAATTTGTTTAAACTAATGTCAACTATCAGAACTGTTTATTTTTAAGTTGTTTCAGTGGACATTTTGGTGCCTATCTCTTCTTTTCTTCAGATAAGGTTTTAGAAATAGAACACTTTAAAAGTTTATAAACATTTCTGAGGTCTTTGATGTGTAACATTAAACTTCCCTAAGAGAAGGACTACTGATTCCCAATTTTTTCATCAATTCATAGAAGATCCTATTTTCCAGTACACTCACCAACACCAAATACCTAATTTTCTTAATTTTGCTAATTTTTCACAGTTTATAATTCCATTTACCTTATCACTAAGATGTCCAACATTTTGACATCTTAGGTGGATTTCTGCAAGCCTGACCTCTGTCCATGTTCTTATTGGCTCATTTCTAAAACACTATTCAGGGTATAGTTAACTTACAACCTAAGAATGGACATTTCAGAGGAAAAATTATCGTTCAAAACTGTCATGGAAAAGAGTTATAGATGATAAATTGCAGTGTATATACTGTACGTGATTGTATGTGGCACAGGAAGACATCTGCCAACAATCATATCTACAAGAAGCAAGAGACGCATGTGCCATCAGTAGCTGCAGACACCCCTGCACCAGACATCCCTAACACCACTTCCCCCACCCACGGAGGCTTCATGTTATTAGCTGTGTGGGAAGAGAAAAGGTTGAGATGTGAATTACAATCTTCTCCCAAATAATTGTACAGAAAAGCACTGCTGCAAAGGGTAGCATATCAGTTGCCACCACGATAAGGATGCTTTATGCAGGCAAAGACTTTGAACAGCAGAAAAACAGAAGCCTTTTCACACACACTTAGTACAGAGATCTACTTTATCATTCATTCAAACACTTTTACCCCCTTCATCAGGGGCATCTTTTCATTTGATTTGTGGTTTTAAACATTAGGACACAAAGAATGTTCTTCATCTGGTGAGTCATTGAAATGAAATCTTAAGGTAAGAAAAAAAAAAAAAAAAAACTTGCCCTAAATTCCCTTTCAAAAGTGAAGTGTGAAAAGACATCAAGCAGAGTACACAGTGTTATTGTGTAGGAAAGTCAATTCTGCAACTACAGAGTTCAAGGCTAGCAGCCACAGCTCAATCACTTCCTCACCCAAGGTGAATAATAAGAAAAATCCAAGGAGAAAGGATTCCACTTGGGAAAATGGAATTTGTCATTGTCCTTCCTCTTGATTATCATTAACATCTATGGGCACAGCTGTTTCCTTTCTCTGACTAATCCTAAAGTCAATGCTATAATATCACCCCCCTCCTTCTGTATCCCAGGGCCTATTATACATCACCTCATGTCCTTATCTGAGAAGGAAAAATTTCGAATTTATCTTTTAATTTAGTAGCAAACTGCAGCCTCATTTCTTGATTTAGTTTGGAACTGAAAAGATTAAAAATGATTTTTCAATTTTAAAAGCATTGAAATTTTGGTTTTAATAGCTTTCTGGGATATTTAAATACATTTTAACTGTAAGTTACAAGCTAAGTTATAGAAGAGAATCAAAACTGAGTACTTTAATGGACAAAATACTCAAAAGTTTATATAGATTACATATATATATATATATATATATATATATATATATATATTTCTTTATATAATATTAGTTTGTTTGTCAAACATGGTAAATAAGTAAAGAAGTGACAAAATTCCTCTTGACATAACTATACATGCTACAAAGTATAAATTTACCTACCAAGGTGATCCTAGAATTTGCTTTAGGCTTTGTAGCAACAGAATAGAGTATTAAATTGGACTTTAAAAAGTCACCAGCGGTGCAGGAGGCTGGGACAGGAGGATCACAACTTCAAAGCCAGCCTCAGTAATGGCAAGGCACTAAGCAACTCAGTGAGACCATGTCTCTAAATAAAATACAAATAGAGCCACCTAGCTAGGTGGCTCTACTTTGTATTTTATAGTGGCTCAATGGTTGAGAGTCCCTGAGTTCAAAGCCAGTTCCAAAAAAAAAAAAAAAAAGGATCATCAAATTTAAAAATGCAAATAAATAAACACTAGAACCTTGGACTATAGAAATATTTCCAAAAGAGAAAATTTAGGATTAGACTGATTGTTCTGTCTGAAAATTTATATTAATTCAAGTAACATCATAACTCATGGATTATGAGACAAGGTCATGTTTACATTTATAGCTCTCTGTAACTCACTTGATTTATAGTAATAAATGGAAAAATGCTTCTTTAATAAAAACCTTTTAAAATGAACAAACTAATTAATATTAAAATAAAGGATTTTTCCCCTGTGTGGCAATTCTTTGTCAATGTAGGAGCACTCCAGAATTTCATACCATGACATTAATTGTCCACACACTCAGTGCAGAACATATTGAATACATTCTTTGTGACTGAGACTTGGAGATGCATATGTATATGCGTGTGTTCATATGTGTGTGAGTGTGTGTATACATGTATATGTATATCACATACATGTATATCACGTATGTGATATACGTATATACATAGATACGTGATATACAAATATGTGTCATATATTTCAATTTCTTTTATTTTATATGTTGAAATGGTAACACTCAAAGTCCAATTATAAGCATTCAAGCTGCACACTATTGTGAATGGCACACTACTGTGCAATTATTTTGGTTCATATTTCTTTCCGGTCTAAAATGTCTCCCAATCTCAGATTAATTCAATGTTAATATTTGGTGTTATGAGATTTTGTAAATTATATATTTGTAAAACTTCAGGCAAAAAAAACAGAGTTTTCTTTTTCCTTTCACCAAATGTTGTCTTTCTTTACTTAGTTCCACTTCACTAGAGAGGTATTTTAATTCTGATATTCTCCATATTAGAGTTATCATGCAGTAGAACCCACACAGGAGGTTGGAATATTCAATTCCAGGGTATTGGGTACTGTTGAAACACTAAATAGTCCAATCATGGGCTTTCTTCAATGAAAATGCAAAAGCTCACTCTTTGATCTGGAAATAGACTTGCCAAAATTCATTAAGAAAAAAACCAGCAATCTAGCAAGTGTTAACAATCTAGTAAGTGCCTTTTATTTCATTATGTTTGATTATCTCCATATCCTCCTTTCATTATTTTTATTATTTTAATATCCTCCTTTCATACTTGATTTCTATCTCTCTAGAAAAATAAACAGACAAATATATAAACTAACAAACTTCAATTCCCACAAAAATGGAGCTGATGGCAGACACAAAGTTTTCATATTTCATCAAGGAGAAAGGAAAACGTTTTCATGGCTGGATAATACATACCTACCCTTCTGACCCAACTAGAGCTTCATAGTAAAATGTAGTCCTGTGCTTTCAAACAATGACCAAGTTTGCATTACTTGCTCACATTTTTAGCTTGGAAAGGATTATGCCACCTCTGTTTCTATTCTTTTATCCATAAGGTAAGCAATAGTAAGAAGACATATATATTTTTCCACAAATATAGTGGGACAAGTTCACAAGAGATCTACAAGTTTACAGCAAACTCATATTTTTAAAGATAAAAATATGTGTAATTCCATAATACAGCAAAAAAGGATTAATATCTACTAAGACAACAACAATTTAAATATTGTATCAACTAAATTTCTGAAGGAAATACATACCCAGACCTTCAGATTCAAATAGACATGTTTCATCCACACCTAAATCTCGGCACCAGGATAAGAAATTTGCTGTATTATCTCGGGCAAAAAAGGAGCCTGAGGGTGCACTGGCTTTGCATGGAATCTTCTTCAATGGAAGACTCTGAAAAAATAAAGAAATTTCACTCTGGTGGAATATCTGGCAAAGTCATCACTATAACAAATTAAAAACATGTTTACATTTTCAAGAAAATGCTTTGGCATGACATCACATCAAAAATGAGTTTATGAAGAATTACAGAAAAGAAAATGTAATGCTCATGACACTTACCTGGCCTTAAGACACATGAAAAGTCTAGGCCTGCAAGCACACACCCTTGCCTTTTTAGTACTTTGTAGGAAATATGTGTAAGTCTATTTCTTGGCTCAGATTGCTTCCCTATTTCTTCTTTTTCTTTGTTTGTTTGTTTTGCTTTCTTTTTCATAAAAGTATTCTGTCAATATTTTTCAAAAAGTATTTATAAATGTTTTCATCACTTGTGAAACAATACAAAGGTTGTAATGAAAATTACGTATGCATGTAAATTTATATATACACCTGTATGTATTCTTATGTGTATACATACAAATTTATCATAAAAATTTCTCACGAATTATAAAGTCATAAGACAGTATCAAAACTTATATAGAGGGGCTGGAGTTGTGGCTCACTGGTCAAGTGCTTGCCTAGCATGAGTGAAGTCCTGAATTCGATCCCCAGGACCACATGAAAAGACTAAATAAACAAAATAAAGGTATTATGTCCATCTACAACTAAAAATATTAAAATAAAACTTATCCAGATGTGTTCATACTGGTACTAAGAGAGGCATATATTAAAATTTTTAAAAAAATAACATCATACAGTATTTCTTCCAAATTATTGACTTTTAATCCATAGAATACAGCTTCACTCTATAAAATAAAGATAATTCTCATTTGAACTATGCTTTTTGACATTGAAGAATACAATTTATATTTCGCATTGTTTCATTCTTGAGATAAGAACACTCTTAATCATGGATGTGATCCTGGACGAATATTCTTATTAACAGTCACTTATAAGATTTGCACCAGGCAATCACCCTTGGCACTGTGCTAAGAGTCATAGTTATGTTTTCTTTAACAGGATACAACCAGTTTCCAGGGCACTGCATGAAGCCATAAAAAGTGATTCTATGTGATGCATAAGATTGAGTCAAGTGTTTGGATAAACTGAGCTACAGAGCCTTACCTCAAAGAGCAAAATGATAAAGGGTGAAGGAATAATTCATACCTTAAATAATTCATACTTATTGTGTCCCTTATTTACTGGGAACATGTAAATGTAATAAACAACTCAAGATTATTAAATTCATAAACAAGAATGGCTATAAAAATTTTAATAGTGGCCTAAGTAGATTGGTGAAATCCTCTTTACATCAAATTGTTACCAGAGTTCTTCATGCTCAACAATTTTGAGACAACAGAACAAAAATATTCCATTACCATATTTCTCAAAGGCTGTAGCTGTTTAACCTCAAAGATCGATCTCCTTTTTTGCAGAATAAATTTGATTTTGTTAGATAAAATCAAAGTTTTGACAGGGATATGCAAACATTTATACAGATACACACTTTAGGCACAATAGTTATACAAACTATAGATGGTGTTGCCTATAGAATAATCTCCTTAACAGATTTGGTCCAGGTTTTCAAAGAAATGCTTGTTATACAAGTTGCAAAACTAACCATAATGAACACATCATGTCTCTTACAAAGTATTTTGAAAATCAATTAGTATTTTAATTTGAAAGTGAAATACATCTCTTTAAATCTAGCAATTTACTTCTAATATGTTATACAGACATAATGGCATTAGTTCTTAAAACACATGTACAAGTATAGTTCTTACAATACTGATTGACTAGAAAAAAATAGAATATGTCAAGAGAGGGATGGTAGATAATATATACAAGTACAATGGAACTCTATGTAATCATTTAAAAGGAAAAGACAAATAACTGTACCTGTACTGAACCACAAACATATTCAAGTATACTCTTAAAGCAGTATCAAATTTGCAAACAGATATGTGTACATGTATACACAAATAAATGACCATGTACAATGTCCAAATCCTTATAAATATGTTGTACTTTATACTTATAAACACACAGAGATATACATATATATGCATATATATAGTTATTATAGACTATAAACATTACTATCAAACCAAATAGGAGTCAAATTGATGTTAATTACCTTTGAGGAAGGGATTGATTGATACATTGAGAATCACTTCTTATTTTATATAATCCTAAAAAAAGTAGTAGGATTTTGATTGTCTTATATTTTATCAATATTTTCAAACAATAAAACCAAGATGGATGAATTATGTCAGCCAAAACATTATTTCAATAAAAGGATTTTCCCCAAAATATGTCCAAGAATTGCCTGTAAAGCTGTCTCATAATGTGAATAAAGCAATAAAGATTAATTTTAAAATAACATAAATAAATCCAAACACTGAGCTATTTTAACATCAACTTCCTATATCCCTGGCATGGGGGTGGGGGGCAAGATTTTGAAACCATTTCAAATCAATGAATGTGTTTACATACAAGAGCTATGTTCTAAGAATTAATACTTGACATAAGTAAGGTCTGCTAAAGGGAATTAGATGCATGATGTATGTGGAAAAAAGGAATGCTATATTCATATTGCTCTGAGGAAGCAAGAGATTGATCTGACACTTAATTTACCAAGGGGCTAATTTTAGAGAATACTCACAGGGAACATGTTCTCAAAAATTGTTTAACCTACTCTTTAAGAACTTTCAAGGACAAGCACCAAGGGAAAAAAATGAAGGCATTTTCCCCCTATAAGTTTGAAGTCTTTACAAAACCATCTACATATCATATTCCAGAATCTAAATATTTATTTAAAATCCAATGCAATCATATTTAAAGACCATTTATTTTATTAGGACCAATAAAATTAAAGCTGGCTATATCAGTATTTCATAACTCGGGAATTCCCAATGCAGAGGAAGTCAGTATTGATCTAATTACATGGCATTCAGGTGATTCATGGAATACTTTAGTGCTTCTCTATCAATGAAATATTAGAAAAGAGTAAACACTAAATACTTTAGTGCTTCTGTATCAATGAAATATTAGAAAAGAGTAAAAAGAGTAAACTAAGGAATAGAATGTTCCAATCTTCATCCAGATGAAACAACTTTCTGGAAGAATTTTTAAGTCACCTTCACTAGTCAAAATGAATCACACATAGAATCTATAGAGTGCATTACATTGAAGTAGGAATAAGGATTGCTCACAGTCAGAGAGCACCGGTGCACAGCTTATAAAACTAGATGTTCTTTTTTTTTTTTTTTTTGGTACTGGGGAATGAACCCAGGGGCACTTAACCACGGAGGCACATTCAAGCTCGCTCTCTCTCTCTCTCTCTCTCTCTCTCTCTCTTTTTTTTCTTATATACATTTTATCTAGAGACAGGGTCCCACTAAATTGCTTAGTGCCCAAGTTGCTGAGACCAACTTTGAACTTGGAATCGTCCTGCCTCACCTTCCTGAGCCCATGGGATTGCAGGCTTGCACCACCAGGCTGGGCAGGACCCGATATTCTTCCTGGTTGTATAGCAACCCAAAGCCCATGAGACAAGAGTCTTTCTAGAGTTTTGGAGAAAAATTCTTGATTTCCCTCCAATTAAAGAACAAATGATTCAATACTAGTAGCATTCAAAACATTTGAAACTAAAAAATATTTTTAGATGACTTACACAAAGATATTTGTTATGTTTTGGAGACTTTCTGTTCTATGATTTTTTTAACATGTAAATTTCTCTTAGTTCCCATGACAATCTGGGAAGAACATCCAACCCTATAATCTTTTCTTTCCTAATAAAGATTAAATTAAGGCAAACAGATCTATGGAATGAAATCAACTTTTCATCTTCCAAAGAAAATCTTGGGAAGAGCAGATTTAGAATACAAAACTGCCTTTAGGAATTTTAGAAACATATACTCAAATAACTGAGGAGTTGACAGTTATGGACAAGAATATCTTAGATGCAAAAACAAAATAAAACAACAACAAAACCCCACTAAACCTATGGCTTTCAAAGAGAACCTGCATGTGTAGAACACCTGATATGTCTTAAATATTCTCTGAAGAATTCCTATAAGCAATGGAATTTAATCCACTGCATCTCAGGAAAATTACTTGCTAGGGCTTTGGAGTCCAATTACTTGAGTTAATACTTGGCTATATCATCTCTGTGCTGTGATATCTCATGCAAGTTATTTGAAGTCTGTGTCTCAGTCTTCTCTTTTATAATTTAATTCTGTGACAATAAGTCTTCAGTAACTACTATCCACTAACATTGTTACCAGTGCAAGTAAAAACATATCAAATTACCTATGATTTCCTTTTCTCATAATTTCTTGTAAACATTTTAATTGTTCATTATGGTTGCAAGAATTCAGAAAAAGACTGGCAAACAATGGATTTCTTCACACATCTATCCTAAATTTAAACTGAGCTTCTGGAACAGTTTTCTAGTACTGAATAGTTTTCTGTGATAACTAATGCATTAAATTCTATTGAGCATTTGAACTATAGTGAGTGTGGCTAGTGAATTAACTATTAATTTTGCTTTATTTTAGTCTAATTAAATTTCAATAGTCATATGTGGTTTCCAGCCCTCATACTAGATAGCACATTCATAATGTGGAAAATAAAATCATTACTTGGAGTTTTATAGTTTACTATTTGACCACTTGACTAGTTCCTCTGTGTGTAATAACTGAGGTAGACAAGTGTGCTGGTCACTTATGAAGACTCTGCTTATTGGTGTAGTGTGCAGAATTGTTATGTCCTGGTTATGGTGTCATAGTTGTAATTAGCTTCAAAAAGACAGTAGTGACTAATTTATTTTTTCACTCATATAATAATCTACATCTGGAGAACTAGGATCTTATTTAACATTATGGTACCTCTTTGACAAACAGGTGATTTATGCACTTGAGAGACTTGATTTGCTGTGTGAAACTTATGGTGGGTTTAGGAAGAAGGGAACCAGTGCTATAAGTGCCTACCATTCTCTGGGAACACGCAAA